ATTAGCTTTTACAGCCATTCGCTAAGTATGAAATGCAGCAGCCATAATCCCGGGAAATCCTAGCTCGGTAGATATATATTCACTCTAACAAGGCAAAAGGGACAACCTGAGCCTTCATCCAATCGGGATCTCTTTTCTGACCTAAACAACCTCCCTTAAGTGGATTGCCTCACATTGCACTGAAATCAACTTAAAACTTTCGAATTCAACCTGAACTTTTTCAGAAAGGGCTAGCTTTGAAGAAGAGTAACAGGTGATCATGTCTCAGTAATTATCGGGATAGTGACTCGGGGCCACTTCATCTAATGGGCGCTTTTCTAGGAAACTATTAGATACTTTACGTTATCCTTTCAGGCCCACGGCTCTTCCTGTTGCTACCCTCCCAATAGAGGTCCAGGTGAGCATTGGAGGGGTTTTTGAGGTTTTCTGGAATCCTGGAGGAATAAATATTTTACACGGTATTGAAGAATTCAGAGGGTTGTGGAAGAAACATACTAGGGTAAGGAGGAATTGGACGGAGAACGACGCAACACTCATTTGCTACCTGAAAGTAAACGATAAATGNTGACAGCTGAGACTCTTTTATATAGTAGGCCTTTATATACGGTATCGGCACCGCCGTCCATTATTGCTGTTCCATTAAGGACATACACATTAAGCCCAATAAGTCCACCACTCATCATCACCCCCTCCAACCAATGATAAAGGCTATTAGTGATTCTCTGCAAGAAACATGCTGGCAACACTTTTGAAGTGTCTGCAATAATGTTAGTATAGCCATTCGATGCCTTGGTTTACCACTTCAGCTTCACAATCACAGCTTTTAAAGGCCTTCAAAGGAAAAGTGGTCACTGAAAACGATTTTGCTATGTCACATTGCCTATAGTTGATTAGTAACTTCACCGCGGAGGAAAATTGTTTAGAGCGAGTGAAGTTTTGGTGCCTATAAACAGCAAAATTCAAAAACAAGCAAGTGGAGGACAGCGAACGCTTTTTAAATTACTTTTTACGAGGTGAACCAAGATATAAAACCTTTTTTTAAATGAGAACTTTGATGTCGTTCATTATGTCTTCAGTTTTCCACAGTCTTGTCTACTCATACTCCAACATGGAACGCATAAGGTAGGTCGAGGTTGAGAGATAGGAGACTCGGATAATTCAATCTCTGGCCATATAGTTCCTACAACCAGAAAATGACATTATTAAACTTCATTCTGTTAAATACTGAGTTTTTCCTTTACAGTGTCTCCTTTATCGTTGTAAATCAGCATTTTTCACGAATTTCATCGAAACTTGCTCGACTCGCTTGTAAATTTGGCTGCTATTGAAATTAAGTGAACCCAGTCAAGAATAGACACGAATATTCCATGGAATGAAAAGCTTTAACCTGGGGGCCACAAAGGTAAGGCAGTCACGATTAGGTTTTCAACTTGTCTCACAACCTTAATGCACATTCAAATGTCTCCATTATCCGAAGTGAGAGTGAAAACATGGCGCAATCCGAAACCTACAGTAAATGTCTCCATTATCCGAAGTGAGAGTGAAAACATGGCGCAATCCGAAAACTACAGTAGCGGTGGGTCTTTTACCTTCATTTTTAACTTCTTCGAGAATATAAGTTATTGTGACCCATGAAATTATTGACAGATCGCAACTTTTGGCGCCAAAACCTACAAACCACCTTGCTGTCTGAGCAGGTTGCTCTTATTCATCGGTCTACCCTTTTGAAGTACGGCAACTTACTCAACAACTGGTCTCTTTACCACTAGCATTTTCTCCATTCAATGTCTGTATAGAACGATATTTCAGTCTGTACAACCTTGTCGCTTCGAGCAATTCCGCCAGTGTGCTGCCGACCATGTTGCGGTTACTGCTGGTAAGTTCCTTCACAAGCACTTGGTAATTCTTAGTCGAAAATTTCTTTTTTGACCCTTACGCTCTTAGATGTAGGTCCTCTACAGCTGATTTTTTCAGATTCTCACCTATGCATCGCTGGGCTTCTCTCAGAGTGAGTTAACATCATGTACTCGTTTGAACTCTTTTTATAAACCTAAATGTTGAATGACCCAGTATTCGAAAGATTTTCTAGTGAATTGTGGTCCAAATGAAGTGTTCGATACGTGTGGATCAGCATGTGAACCGTCCTGCAGGAATCCGAGCCCGGTAAGCGAGACTTTTGTGAAAAGTAGGCTCTTTTTGCCGTTCTGTTTGTCTGTCATGCCGTGTGCTAGAGGAAAACGGAGGTGACATTGAAGGGTGTATCAGTCAATAACATGCTGGTGACAACTGACTCTTTTGTCAAGTCTCTTCAGCTATTCTTAAACTTCTGAACCCCATTTCCTCAAGGGCTCTCTGTGTATCAGTCCGTCCTGCCTCCACTGGGATGGCCAAACTGTCAGCGAAGAATTTATTTCGATCGGACTAATAGAAATTTATGGAACCTTTTCTATAGGGCCCGTAAACCAAGCAAATCTTTGAACACTTCTATGATCTTTCAGACAATCTGCACACTCCAGTGCGTCGTTGGATGTCGCTGTCGTCAAGGCTTCTTCAGAGATGACTTTGGGCAATGCGTAGCCAGTTGTGGTCGTGAGTTACTAGCTTCTATGCTTTTCTAGGGTAGTATACTTTATTTCGACACAAACCTTCTGGCAAAAACAAACTTAAGAAGGACAACTAGTCTACTGATTTTCTGGCTTTCCATCTCTACATATACTAGTTGCCAAGTGGGGTATTTGATTTGATTCGAATTAAAGCAATTCAGCACCAGCAATTCAGCACCAGGACCGACACCGCAGTCTGCACCATCACCATGGGCTTCGTCGTCACAACCTGGACTATCCCCCTCACTACAAGCGCCCACACCTACATCTTGCTTGGGAGCTATATGTCCATCAGAGACCCAGTGTCTCATGGTGGCAGAACCTTGCCCGTTTATTTCCTGCGCTGTACCAACCCCGAAGTGCGTGCCTTTATCATCACGAGCTGCCCCTTCGCAACCGCTGCCAGCCCCAATACCTACATCGTGCTTTGAAGCTCAATGTGTTCCTGGCACTGTATGTGAAATGGTGATAGAACCATGCTTTTTCATTTATTGTGCTGTACCAAGGCCGATGTGCGTGAGCAGTGCTCAATCGAGGAGCCCACGTTCCAGCAATCGAGGTTCATATAAGTTTTATCCTTTGAGTGTTCTCTTTAGTACTTGATATTGGAAAGTGAAGTAGTCCCAGAACATTTTAGGTCTTTCACCGCCTGTTCAAGCCGGACCTACTTCGCCACCTTCTGGACTGTCACCACCGTCCAAACCATCACTTGTGCCCAGTGCGCCATCACCGCCTCGACCACCACCAGTGCCTGCACCTGCACCAGCGCCCAAACCAACACCAGTGCTCAGACCTCCACCAACAACTCGACCGCCACCGATGCCTGCACCTCCAACGCCGCCCAAACCAACACCGGCACCTAAACCTCCATCTCCGCCTCGACCGTCACCGACACCTGCACCTCCACCACCGCCCAAACCATTGCCGGTGCCAAAATCTCCATCACCGCCTCAGCCGTCTGCACCATCACCGCCAGGTTCATTGTTTATCTGTACTTTGAACGGTACCACAGAATAGGTAGTATGACAAGATAAAACTGCTAATTTCAGGACATTCACAACAATTCAGATGTCCCCAAAATGAATCGTGGAGCAAGTGTCCCACTCAATGTGAACCTACGTGTAGCAATATGAATCCTGTGAGCATTATCATTCACATCATATAGGACTAGCTTCCACTTCGGTCTTCGCCATTAATGCGTAGTTCAAAGCAGTTATTGATTTTTGTTCCTGCAATCGATATTTATTTCCGTATGCAAGAGTAAGTATTGGATTGGAAGCAGCCTAGTCGGGTACTTAGGAGATCGTACTTACTACTTTACTTTGAAGACGAATACTGTCTACATTTACGAAGATAGTTTTTGTTTACATCCAAGTATTATTCAATTACAGAAGTGCAACAAGGCTTGTGGGGAGCCGAAATGTCAGTGTGATGAAGGATTCTACCGCAACCGCTCCGGATCGTGCGTACGCAGTTCCGAATGTCCACGAAGGGATAGCAGGGAATCCCGAGAAATTATTAACAGTCGAGAATCGCATGAGCGAAGAAGGGGATGAATAAGATTGAAAAGTTTACCCAACCTTTAAAGGTTCTGGCTTCTGAATTGTAGCTCTCATCTTTGAATGTTTGTAAACAGTACTCATCAATAGAACATATAAGTGCTTATACACCTTATGCATGCTTGTCAACTCGTAGGATGATCGTTTTATAGAAAGTGCTCAGATTTTTGCAAATTTTGACGAATTTTTTATAGATAAAGTCTCAAGTCAAAAAATTTTGTCAAGTTGTAGACTGAGCTGAAGCTGTGACTACAGGCGATTATACTGCAGTAGCACAATTGTTAGAGGAAATGTTTCAGTAGTGTTAATATTCATGTACGGGGATTCAAAAATGCCAGTGGACAACTGGAATGGCAGTGTGGTGGATATTCTTCCGTAACTCGTCTCGGGTAACTCGTACAACATACAAAAGTTCTGTTTGGTTGTCGAGATCATCATCTTGAAAGAACACCTTTAGCGAGTAAGACAAACGATAAAGAGAATCGATAAGGATAGAGAGAATTTTAATTCTATCAAAAGAAAACAGTGTAATCGTCTTTGGAGGGTATTTTCTTATTTCCACGAGTTATAGCTTTAAATATCAGTTAGTACTGTTCTTCAATAAAACATCGCATTGCCTACTCGCCTGTACAAGTCTGTGAGTCCAAGGATTTTACCGGAGAAGTACCCATATCCTGCAAAATTCTGTGGTATCTTGTAAATGAAATAAATATATGTTTGCCGATTTATAGGCAAGATAACATTGTGACTGGCAGTTCTCGAACTCTGCTCCAAACCCTTAGGCTCAAGCCATAGAGATTCCTGCAGTTGTAGGTTCCCGGATGTTTAGTACCCATAGGAGAGTTGCCAAATAGTGCCTGAACTATCTGTTATCAGATTCTTCTAAAACAAACTACAAAAACAGTGCGACAATGAGGTTTGAGATAATATTGGATTCGATTTCAAGACGTACCCTCAACTACCGATCTACTCCTGTGAAGTAGCAGCCCCTTTACGATTCTCGTCAAGCGGAAGGACAAGCTACTGAACTTGTGATCCTCTTGTAGAGGTATTTACACGATTCATCTATTATCCATGTGCGGGTCTCGATAAACCTCGACATTATTGTTGAAAAAACATTATAGAAATAACTCCTTCCAGCTTCACAATACCTTCTTCGGAGCCTGAAAGGATTCGCCATGCATTCGTCAGAATGGGCGCAGGCTATATAGTCGAGGCAGCGCAGTGCTTGTAATTAACTCGCAACTAAGTTCTGCTAATTCGGACCAACAGTATTCAGTATCAAGCTGATTACTGTTGGTCCTGACAGAATTTCAAAGTCCTTTTGAGGCAATTGTTCATCAGTTAGGTTTTTGGGAAACACCCGCTCTTGCGAACTCCAGTCAGGAACACAGCAACATTTGGATGCATACTTAATGCTTACCTAATGTCTTGCAGAAACCAGAAAATGAAAAAACTAGTACTTCTAAAGCTCCGTATCAATTTTATCAGATTTTTAGACTCAGATCATTTTTTATCATTTCGTCATCACAAAAGGGATGGATGCCCCGTTTCGCTTGATCTGAGGCGAACCTAACGTTAATACTTCAGATCAAGCGAAACGGGCTTTGGTGTCGAAACATATATTTTCCAAATATCTTGACCAATGCTCAACGGAGCCTATTCAACCAGTTCGGTAACCTCATTTTGAAATCTTCCACTGAAAAATGGCTTAGCTTCATGACGAAGTTAAATAAGCGGAGCAGTCGGTAGAGTTGAGACCAGCCGACTGAAGCCTTTGCAGGATCGCAAATCGACAAGTTTCCCAAAGTTCGTAAGCATACCTGCGTATGAGGAGGATAGAAATGAAATTTCATAGAAATTCTATCAATAGAAAGTTTGCATGAGCTCTCATTCAAATACCTTTCCGGTTTTTTATGGTTATGCATACATGGCGCATCCCGAGAAATAACTTAGCCTCAGATCCTTTTGCAATCGTCGTTTTCATAAATTATATAGATACTTGCGATCTATGAAATTTTCAGCAGATCAAAACTTTTCGCGCCAAAATTCCCAAACTCACTCCAAGCCACCCTTGTCCTCCATGTAGGTCTCTATTTACTTACGTACCAGTCTGTGGTGATGACGGGTTACTACTCATGAATCTGCTCATTTTATACGTTTGTCTATATTATTTCGCTTCATGACAGACTTAAATTTAAGCTTGCTCAGCTTTATTGCGTCGTGGTGTTAACCAGTCTGCCGCGGAACAATGTTGCGGTTGCTACTGGTAAGTTGATTCGCAATTATGTAACAAGTATTCGGTCGAAAAACCCTATTTTGGCACTGACACTTATGAATGCCCATGGTCTGTAGCTTGACTTTTTTGCAGGTTTCCGCCTGTGTCTCGCTAGGGTTCGCTCAAAGTGAGTGGGAAGACGTTGATTTCTTCGTTTTGTCTGAAAATTTGTAGATAAGTTAGACTTGATGGTTTTTTTCCAGCAAATTGTGGCCCCAACGAGGTATTCGACACATGTGGATCAAAATGTGAGCCGACATGCGGAGAACCGAACCCGGTAAGAAAAACGAGTAGCATTTCTCCAGTATTTTTTACTGCAGTTCACATAATCTTGGGAACCATCTTTCAAGAGTGCGAATATGTGAAAAGGAAACCGTAGGAAACACTTCATTCATAGTGTGGAGTGGTGCCGGCGATCTCAACTTACAGCCGATTCTTATGCTTTCCATGGAGATGTCCGCTTTCTCGACTAAGCTTTTTGGATGCTCACATAAGCATGTGGGTGAGGGATATCCCTAGTGCACTTGAGGGTAGTCCCGATAGTCTGAGGCCAGGATGGTAGACCTTCCGATTCCTCCTTGCGGCGGAACCAATTATCTACGGCTTTATCCGACAGTAAGATCTGTATAAAAGTGAAAGATGAAGTTCTAAAGTGTGAACTGCAGCCACCTCCTCAGTCTCTTCATCCTGATGTAGAAATAGATTGCGTGCAACAATCTTTTCGCTCAAGCACTTAAGGACCTCATCTGTATTCGTTTCAGAAGCCCTGCGCAACTTCATGCTTTATGGGTTGTCGTTGTCGCCAAGGTTTCTTCAGAGATGATTTGGGTCTGTGCGTGAGCAAATGTAATCGTAAGTAATACCATCACCGCTTTGCTATACCTCATCTGAGCGGCTTTGATAAATGGGCTTTTATATTTTTGTTGTTTGAACGGTGTTTCGCTGGGGTTACACATAAGCATGCGTCAGTAGATGCACCAAGTCCAGTGGAGCGGCCAGTCTTCAACCCCATCTGATCTTTCTAGCAGGTTTATTTCAGAGGCGTCGTCAACACCGGCAAGTTGTTCTGAAGTGAAATGCCCCGCCGGAACGCGATGTGAAATGGTGGAAGTACCCTGCACAAGGGATCCCTGTCCTGCGCCAAGTCCGAAATGTGTGACAGTTCGTGAGTAGCTTGAGTCAGTTGAATTCGGAACCCAATGAAGTCTGAAATGCATGTCCTTGACTAGTTCCTCAGAACTCCGGAATGCTTCCAATTTTTGTTCAGAATTGTAGACTTTGAGATCTACTTATGAAATGGCTCATAAATCCACGAACTAAGTTGATACTCAACAAGTTACAGCTACAACAACTACGAAGAGGCCCCCTGCAGCGACTCGTCCACCACCTGCGCACCGTCCTCCTCCTCCTCCACCTCCAACGACTCGCCCACCTCCACCACCACCTACGACTCGCCCACCGCCTGCTCACCGTCCTCCTCCACCTCCACCTCCAACGACTACAAAACGACCAGTGCTTATTCGTGAGTAGTGATATTTTCAAAAAACTCGGACATATTTTACTATAACCTGATATTATGTGCTATTCCAGCTCGTTGTGGTGCAAATGAAGCCTTCGATACATGTGGGTCAGCATGTGAACCATCCTGCAGGAATCCGAATCCGGTAAGTACGATGTTTTCAGCAATGATTACGGCCTTCAGCAATCTGCAGCTAACATCTGAAGAGCAGAATTCTAGTAACTTGGAGAAGCAGGCGGGTAAATGTAGTAACGATCGCGATTCCTCACCCTTCACCCTTCTTCACCATTTCTGGATTTTCCAAACCCCTTTCCATTTCAGTCCACCCTGGTTTCTTTTGTAGGGATCTCTAAATGTCAGCAAAGTAAATGAACCCAAGACCACTGGAACAACGGAGACTGTATGTCCCAGTAGTCTCATAAGATTCATAGATTAAGAGAGATTAAATTTAATAGGGTGATGGGAAGGAGAATTTCGACATACCTATTCGTTATTTGTCAGGTAGCCTGCACTCTTCAATGCGTTGCTGGTTGTCGATGCCGTCGAGGATTCTTCAGAGATGACAGAGGGCAATGCGTAGCGAATTGTGGTCGTGAGTTAATAGCTTTTATTGGTCTCGACTGAACTGATTTCAGAGCTCTACGGTGACGGTAAGTTGTGAATAACGTTGTAGTAGGTGATGGTTCGGGCCAGGGAAACTTCAAACGGCTAGGAGCTCTACGCGTACTGCAAGAAAAGTGCCCTCAAATCTTCCCTTTTATTTTCTTCTTTTTGAAGAGCCTTCAATCTTTACGATATTCAAAGAGATGAGGCGAATCTTATCCGAGTTTAAATTTTTTCCAATCTTCTACTTAGATGTCTAACCGCAATTAATTGCAGCCGTTCCGTTCATCGCCAGACCACCACCACCGCCTCCAGTGATTGTTCAGATCCCAGTAGTGAGTCCGCCAAGAGTTCCATCTAAGCCTGTGCTACCTCCACCTAAGCCGGCTCCTAAACCAAATCCACCATCAAAACCATCACATCCTGGGCAGTCACCATCGCATCCTAAACCGCACTCGAATGCACGTCCAAAGCGTCAAGGTCTACAACCAACACCATGGCCTGGTGCATCGCCTGAACCAAGATCGTGCTCAGAAGTTCAGTGTGGTTGGGGCACTCAATGCACCATGGTGGTAGAACCATGCTTCTTTATAAGCTGTGCTGTTCCAAGACCGAGATGTGAGCCAGTGCAGAGCAATCCTCCTCAACCACTTCCTGTACCAACACCACAGCCTCAACCATGGCCGCCACAACCATCTCCAATGCCTGGACCTCGACCACCACCTCAACCATCACCGATGCCTGGACCTCCACAACCACCTCGACCGTCGCCACCATCACCATCACCACCAGGTTCATTATAGCTGACATTTTGAACATGATTGGAGTGAAAAATTATAGTTACTCAATAATGATTTAGGACCGCAGCCATCGACGCCGACTTGTGCAAACGCTGTCTGTCCGGCAGGATACAGTTGTCAGATGGTCAACATTCAATGTCAGAGACCACCATGTCCACCTCCAGAGCCGTATTGTTTTCGCGTGACACCTCCTCAACTCAGATGCCCTCCAAATGAATCATGGAGGCAGTGTTCGACTCGATGTGAACCCACATGCAGCAATATGAATCCCGTGAGCATCATCCTAACTTCTAAATGCTAGCTTTCACTTTGTCTTTTGTCATCAAGGCGGAGCACATATTGATTTCACGCTCATACAATCAATATTCTTTTTCGTTTGCATAGCCAAGTACGGAGCGAAAGCAGCTTGAGAGGAGATGGATTGTAATTGATGTTATCAGCAACATCAGAAAAAGGTTATTCCAGACATGTAACAAGGCTTGTGGAGAGCCGAAATGCCAATGCGATCCGGGATACTTCCGCAACCGCTTTGGATCGTGTGTGAGCCGCTCTGAATGTCGAGCATGAAGCAGTCACGAACCACACGAACGACTTTGGGGTAATACTGGCCCAGGAAAACAAGTTTATTCATAGTTTTATGGGTATTTTACATATGTGCATCCTTTCTCTGTTATATCACACCCGTATGCAATCTGTGCAATCGTTTTAGAATGTTCTGAGAATTGATTATGACTTTTTAAATTATTTTATAAATAAAAGAGCGTGAAAACTTGTTTTTTGTTTTACATGGGAAAGGAACGGGCAAACATCCGATGNAGGAAAACAAGTTTATTCATAGTTTTATGGGTATTTTACATATGTGCATCCTTTCTCTGTTATATCACACCCGTATGCAATCTGTGCAATCGTTTTAGAATGTTCTGAGAATTGATTATGACTTTTTAAATTATTTTATAAATAAAAGAGCGTGAAAACTTGTTTTTTGTTTTACATGGGAAAGGAACGGGCAAACATCCGATGAGTTAAACTTTCAGAATCTGATGATTCCAAACCTCATTCAGAACCTCCAAAAAGTACGAAAGTCGTCGGCCTCAGAGAATCAGCGAAATGAAGGAAAAGCTTGTAGGGGTATCGATTCGCAGAAATGGGGTGAGGGTCACTATGGGCACAAGAAGAACTTCTCAATTGCTTTGTATGGGTTTCATAAATTATGGTAATGGGACTCGTGTTGCACCACTGCAAGGTCCTTAGCATCATAAACTCGACACAAAGAAGAACCAGATTTGATAAAACTTCATTTCGCACTACTCCATAAAAGCGATGACATAAAATTAATATAAACGATCAGTTCTCAACTCCACACTTCGGTCACTTTCATCCGGCGCATCTCCAACGACGTCAATATACTCATTGTCATCGACTGCAGAAAGAGCGGAACTCACAACAACCTTCGGTAAGCTGTTGGAATCATCGCTGCTATCTGCTACCTGAAAAAGGTCAGGAAATAGCACAACTAAAACTTTGGCCTCCAGGTAATGTAGTTTAATTGGAAGATACCTAGAAATAGTTCAACAACCAACCACGAGAGATTTTGCTCGGCGATCAGGAGACCACCAGGCATCACGCTTCCTTTTTCGTAACACTTTCTTCATAACTCGTTCGCACTTCTCATCGAGGGATTGTTTCATTTGCTGTTTTTGCACTTCATCAAGGTCGAGCGGGACTGGAAATGTCTTTGTAAGACGGCATAAACACTGTCCCTATGAATGAAGGAAACTAAACATTGATAACATCCCACCTGCCTCTAAAACAGCGTCTGAAAAGCGATCTACTGAAACTTCCAACGGCGGCTCGTTAGACGTTGACCACTCTTCGTAAAATTGAAGTTTTGTTCGCTTCAAAACAGCATCCACAACGTTTTTACCCTAAAAATAGCCGGAAATAGCAAAGTTTGAAGATGGTAAACCGTCAACTTATGCCGAAGCATAGCATTGCATCAGCAATGTTTTTATGATCCCGACCTATAAATGCCTTTACACTACAACACATAGATTCGAATGAATAGGCATCCGAAGCAATCAAAAGAAATTAACACTTCAGTTTACTAATTTTCATTAAATATTCATTTCTCTACTCATACGATTTGAAGAAAAAGACGAACCTGACAAAAATGTCGCGCATTCAGTGGTTCGTCAGGATTCTCTCTGATGATGTCGTTATCTATTAGGACGAGCGGAATCTTCAAATCCTTGACCGGTTGCTTCTTAAACTGGTCTTTTATTGCGATGAACAGCTCAATATGGGTAATGTAAATAAACCTTACCTGTCTCTTCAACTTTTCCCGTATTTGCATACAATGCATACATTTCCAAGAGACTAAGCCTGGGATCTGAAAAGAATAAACTACAAAAATGAGTATACCATGAAACATAAAAGAGAAGTATTTATTGCCTGAATAAAATTTGCATCACTAATTTCAACAGGACTGGAACCCCTTATTTCGTCAAGAATTCCTGAATTGGGAAAGTAACTTCAATCGCGGTAGCTTTTGTCGATTCATCCCCGATGAAAGGACAGTGGTGAGGCAGCTACATATCCCCTACAAAAAATAGACTTACCCTGAATTTTGAGGCGACAAGAAATTCATAAACACGTCCATGCACAACACGACTTTGCCACATGAAGACTTTGTTTTTTCGATGGCGGCTGATTGCGTAAGAAGCAGTTCCGTATGACTCCTTCGATGTCGACGCCATGGCTTCACAAATTCGGCACAGCACAGTGCCCTCCCTCGATTTGCTGATTTCAGGTAAGACACTGTTTGAATAATTTGGCAGCACACTTTAATATAAGTGAATCTAAAAAAAAGGCACTGAGAGGAACATGACTCAAATGAATGACGTAAGGAAGCTTAACTGACTGAGCAATTATTATCAAAGCAGAGTTCGAAACATGAGAAACCCATTCAATTGGTTACCTATGAAGTGTTCTCAATATTTGGGAGCAGAAGACTGGCTTTTCAACCCGTGATCTCACACCCACCCCGAAATGATAAGGAGTAGGAAACGGAGAACGTGCTCCACACAACAATGCTGCTATCAATTCGTTTCACGACCAAGCTTCAAAGTCTGCAGTAATCCGTAGAGTAATTCCCATTTTCACGTACCTTGTTTGATGAACGAAAACTCGTCCAATATTGGCACGTACGACCATTTTAAAATTTTAAACTATTCTTACTGTTTCACTGTGAGAAACACCATTTCTATTTGTCGAACACATGTTATATTTTATGTATGGGGATTGCTCTTTAGAATTCTGAGCTTTGGAATGACATTAACGTCGCCCTTGTGAGCAAGAATAAGATAAGCTATGGTGAAGTTAGTGCTTGACTGCTTTCTAATGTAAAAACTTCCCTAAATTTCATACATTTTGCAAATATGTTTGTTTGGTGTATTCGTTTGATCATTTCCAAGATTTCTTTGGTGGTAATCCCACAGCCAGGCACTACGCCCACCGCAATTCCATAAAACTGCATGGTAGTCATCGAAGTTCTGGGGAACAAGTCCAATCAAGTTCTGACCTTTTTCAGCCTTTACCAACTGCTAACATTTTGTTTCATCCATTTGCTCAAATCTCATCTACCACAACATCGCCTATTAAATCAAGCGTCGAGACGTCTGTGATCTAGTAGGCTCTTGCTCTAAGGATGGCGACTGAAAAAGACCTTGTCAAACTTCAACTGTCATCCGTCATCTACGCCCGGTCGCTCAACACCTCATTGTAGTACCTGGCTTTATAGGTAATATGAAAAGCCGTTCTAAGGATGAAATACGGCCGTGTCGTTGGGAAATAAGATTTTTATGTATGTTACTTCTCAATACTTGTCTGCTGCCTTTTCAGCATTCATTTACTTGAAAGAATGCTTCGGAGGGCATGGCGTGCTGGTGGCATTATTGCCATAGCAGGAGGCTCTTTTCTACTTGGAGCACGATATGCAAACGAATGCCCATTGAGGAGCGCACAGGCTGCCACTGCAGTATCAGTAAGTCAGTTTTCTGACGTGCTCTGCTTGATATCTTTCAATGATAGTGACCCTCTTCTGAATCTTGGAAGAGAGGATGAAACTTAGAAGGAAAATCTTCCCTAAATCCATACTGCATTCCCATTACAGTATCTAAGGCGGCGCGTGAAAAGTAATACTGCTCATTTAAGCCTGTTCCCACTTTGCCACCGCTGCAGTTGGAACCAACAGAACCCGCTAAGCCTAGCTTCGATCCGATGGGTCCTTCTCGTGCCTCGGAAATTATGCGTTATGGATTCCCTGGCTTCGACAATTTGCGCACCTTCGAAGATTTTGTTTTATCGTACGATCGCAAAACACGGACAGCTCATTGGGTGAGAAAACAAGATATTATTCTATTGTGGAGAAAGCTTATGAAGTGTTGTCACAGGTTTGCGAACACTTGACCCCGACGAGGCTTATTTATGATCCGTCAGTGGATCGATCGAAGTGCGAATTCCGTCCAGATCCCAGCATACATGAATATTTCCGATCTGACAACACTGACTACAGGGTAATTTCGTGAATCTCATTATTCATCGCCCTTATTTCTTTGTTAGGTTGCGATCATACTGTTTAAAGGGAAGTGGGTACGATCGAGGACATTTAGCTGCAGCTGGAAACCATCGTAAAACGCAGAAATCTGTTGATCAGACTTTCTTGCTCACAAATATGAGTCCACAAGTTGGGCGAGGCTTCAATAGGGACAAATGGAATGACTTGGAGCGCTATGCGAGGTTTATCGATTTTTTAAATGTGAATTCCACATTCATGATTAGGTGCAAGTTTATGATCTACGTTTAGAAAAGTCGCAAAAAAGAGCTTGAATACCTACATATTGACTGGGCCTCTTTATCTTCCTCATAAGGCAGAAGACGGGAATAATTATATTAAGTACAAGGTTAGTTTCAAAAAATTCCTTCTTTTCAGGGCTTTTGTGAAAGGACTTCAATACAAGTAAGGTTTGAGAACTCCATTAAAGAGAATAGTTTTAGGTCATAGGAACCAATAATGTTGCTGTCCCGACACACTTCTTCAAAGTAATTCTAGCTGAGACTTCTCCTGGAAATTTTGAAATGGAGTGCTTCGTGCTTCCAAATCAGGTACTTTGAGTCCGGACAAATTGTTTTTATAGCTGCCAAGCTAACAATTTATAGGTCATCCCTGATACCACGGAGCTTTCCACGTTCTATGTCCCACTTGAGATGATCGAGAGATCCGGTGGTTTTCTGATTTTTGACAAATTACCAAAAGACAAGTTGAAGAAAGTGAATGGAAAGAAGGTCGGCGGCTTTTGGTAGGGATCCTTTGCCATTTTTGGATTTTGTTAACTCATAGTTGTTAAAAGTAGTTATATCATCAGTAGCACAGGGTACTGTATTCAAATTTTGTGCATTCTTCTTATGGGTCCATGTTGTACAACTGTTGTAGGCAAGATGTGCCATCCTCATTGTTACTGTTGCTATCTTTAACATGTTACTATTTGTTGTTTGAAGTACATATTGTTCATTTCCGTAGAGCTTATTTCCCGAAGGTAGTTATATAACGAAGTTAGAAAATTGATATATGTATTTGTTTACAAGCTACTTTGTATGCTTCTGATATCTCATATACAGTTACATACTTCACGCTTTAGAAGACTAGCGATTCCTCAAAAGGATTCAGGATTATTCCATTTGTTTCGCAATAAATATAAGTCTTTTTTCTTAAGAACTATTTCTCAATGAGTTTCGATATGCAGGTTGTCGCCAGAGTAGTTCCCTCACCAATGCACCGGTTGCGCACAATTTTCAGAATCTGGATAAATTAGCCTTATGAATCCACATGGAATGGGCCATGCATCTGCATCCAAAGAGTTCTGGAAAGAAAAATTAACCATTCAATCGATCCAAGATCGATGGATAGTGCAAGTGTGCCTTGTCGAAATTAGGCACAGCACCGCCTCATCTTCTACAGTTTTCATTTATCATAAAAGAAGTAACACTGAACTGGCTAGAGGCTTTAGATGGAAATTATGTGCGCTAATCTGCTACAGCTAGAGGCACTTAAAGGGCCATGATTGCTTTCAGCTAGAACGGCGCGAACCGATAAATCTTCAGTCCAGATAATAGGCAAGTTGATTGTTTTAGGGTACAATAAAACGATGAATGAAATCTTCAATCAATCCCGTCTGAGGGATGCGCTTCGCGTTCGACTTCCATTCAGAATCGTAGTGGTGACTTGAATGAGTACGTAGCCTATTCAATTCCATGCGGTGGCCAGCCGTTGTATAAGCCGGTGCTTTTGTCCTCACAGATGATGTCCTGATAGCAACTAATCGACCGCGTGAGGATGAAAGGCCTAGTTGGGGCAGATATGGGTTTCGAACAACGGATAATGCCTGTGAGGTAGCGCGCCACTTGCTTCACCACCCTTGCGTTGAATATTTCCTCTCCCAATCGTGGATGGAAAGTACGAACAGGGAATAGAAAGATTGAAAGGTTGTAAGATCTGAGTGTTTCCAGAAACCTGCCCCATTACTAGCGTGCGCCATGTGGACGAGTTCTCCTCCGCGCGACGTGTCTCTGAAGGTCAACCTGGGCATATTTACTTTCCTCATATTTATATCTTTTTATGGAGATCCTTCGCTCATTTCCACACATCATTTAGCCCTTTTATGAATATTATCAGAACTAATAATCTGTTTTTGTTGCAAATGAGTCTACTGAAATGTTGGGTTTCATTTGCAGGAATGTCTGTCGATCGCTTATTCGATGTGAAGAACGCATTCTTCCTTGGGCATTACCAGCAGTGTATACTTGAAGCACAGGTACGATTCTGGCTCTGTTTGAGGATGGCTGTATTAGTCAGCTTTATTAGTTTCTTCATGTTCCACATTATTCCTCCCAGGCTGCTCTAAAAATTGAAAGTGTCCTACTTTATGTCTTCACGGTTGTGGTGCTTTGTCACATAGTTTGAATCGTTAGTTTGAGGAGAAAAACCTTTTTTCAGAAGTTTGTCACCAAAGTCGAGGAGGAGAAGACAGCTAAGGATGTCTATATGTACCGGTCATATATTGCCCTAGGAAAGGCTTCTGTTGTTCTTGGTGAAATTCCCGAACGAACGAATAATCCGTCTTTGAAGGCTGTTCGTCGTCTGGCTGAATATCAGCACCCAATCGACAGGTTTCTTTTCTTTTTAGTTGCTTCTCTGGTTCTTTTTTCCATTTGCTTTACTTCTATGCCGTTAATTGGTCTCGATTTTTCTTCTTCTTATGTTCATAAATCTAATACTTTACACAGCCATGTTAAGCTGCTAATTATGTCTATTTTTTAGAAAGCGCATCGCGAATCAGATACAGAGCGAAGTTTCTGATGGGACAGCAGCCACAGATGATGCTTCATGTATTGTGGCCGCTACCATTCTCAATAATGAAAACGTGAGTGGATTTTGATTGTACTCCAAAACTTCCGTCTTAATTTCTTTGTTTGTCCAGACCATTTTAGTCTACCTTCTAATATCTTTGTTATTTAGAATCCGGAAGATGCTATGCGGATTCTTGC